CCCCAAAACCCGAAAACCCCAAAACCCCAAAACCCCAAAACCCCAAAACCCCTTTCCTATGTTTCAATATTGAAACCATTAATCTTGTTTCACAGCTGCACTTATAGCAGCCTTACTTGGAGAGGAAATTGGATGATGATACTTCACCAATTCTCAAGCACTTCCGATTGAGAAACCTAAAGAGGGTCATGAAAATCTTACCATGGTATAAACAAAGATATGTAATAATAGTTGAGGTAGATCTAGTCATTCCTGCCGTACAATGGACGTATATCTTTGAATTTCCTTTCTCCAAAATGTTGCTCACAATTCCAGAAGCTGCTCTCAACTTCACCTTCAAATCTTCCTCATCAAAATCAGTAATGGGATTATGAGTCAACCTGATCTCGTTTTCCTGATAGTACTCATTTAGCTTATAAAAGTTGACTTCTTTCCAAATGAAGTCATCCTTAGTCTGGAGGCAAAGGACATCTGTGATTCCATGTTTAGCCTAAATTTTGATTTATTCCAAAAGATCTTCTCCAAATTTCAAAGATTCTCCTTACCAAAACTTTGATGTCATGCTTCTGCTGAGGGTGTGGGCCAACAAAAATATTATATCCCTCGATTTCATCGATCTTAAACTCGTCGACAAAGTTGTGATCCTTCTTGAAGAGATATCCGTTAATAATGAAGACCTGCTCGCTGGTTTGCCACAAATTTTTAGGAGTTTTTAATAGCCCTCTGATGGCCTTAGCAGAGTCTAAAGTCAGGTTATACAACTTACATTCGTCTGGGTTTTGGATAATCATCACTCTATTTGGGTCTCTTTCAAACACAGTAATGTTCTCCTTCAAATAGTGCAGAGAGTACATGTAATTTATTGGCTGTCAGTAGATTCCTAAATTAATTTATCGTATTGAGATTTATTTATCAAACACTCACTCTTTTGTTTGATCAGGGAATATCCTTGATAAGCCTTTATCTTATCAGAGCCAGCAAAAAGCCTTTCCTTTCCTGTACAATGCATCTCGACTGGCTTTTTCATTTCATTCCACTGATAAGAAGTGGCATTAGGCTCTGAAACTCTTAAGATTCTGTTCATATCATCACTCAAAGGATGAATGAGCTTGAAAACCATCTCAAATCTTCCCCATTTCTAAAGAAAGTATGACAACCGAGTTAAATTTTATATAAATTATAAGACAAACAGATCGACTTACATCTTCGAATTGATATTCCCCATCTTGACATAATCCTTGTTTGTCAGCAATATCCAAATCACAGATCCTATTATATCCTTCTTCCCACCTGATTATAGTATCGGATTGGTCAACGACAACATATTTATAACAGAAAACTCTTGAAGAGACGTCCACTGTAGCCTTCCAAATATTGCCTTCATGCCATTCCATCTCTCAAAGAAGGTGTTTCCAGTGGCCTAGCTCCCCAATATCCCCCATGATCATCACACTTTGTCCAAATTGCGTCAGATATTCAATCTGAAAATTGACAACATCTCTATAAACACTGTAAACCTTCCTCCAAAACCCATCTAAACCCCATTGAAAAATTCTAAATTTCGTACTGTTGGGGATCTTCCTCTCTTGTTCTATCCATTTTACTTCAAAACTTATTTCTATTATTAAATTGGGCTCAGGGGTTTTGGGGTTTTGGGGTTTTGGGGTTTTGGGG